AGCCCCTTCCAGTCCCTAAAGGGGCTACAGAAAAGCTGGAGAGGGCCTCCTGATCAGGGAGCGGAGCCATAGGATGAGGGGGAACGGTTTTAAACCGAAAGAGGGGAGATTTAGCTGAGATATTAGGAAGAAATTGTTGCCTGTGAGGGCAGTGAGCCCCTGGGGCAGGTTGCCCCGAGAAGCTGTGGCTGCCCCATCCCTGGAGGTGGTCAAGGCCAGGTTGGACGGGGGTTGGAGCAACCTGGGCTGGTGGGAGGTGTCCCTGCCCAGGGCAGGGGGGTGGCACTGGATGATCTTTAAGGTCCTTTCCAACCCAAACCATTCTATGATAAATCCGCGATGTTCTCCGTGATAGCTGGGGAGACCAACCGTCAGCTGATGTGGTCAGAAAGCTGGGCTGCTGGGGGATGTAGAGAGGGCGGTGTGGCTGTCTAAAGGGATTGACGGGAGCGTTGGGAATGTGGTTGATGTGTTCACTCTGTCTTGTTGGCAGTCGCCCACCCCATCCGGCCCAAGCCTCCATCTGCCACGAGCATCCCAGCCATCCTGAAAGCTCTCCAGGATGAGTGGGTAAGTGCTGGGTCACGGCTGGGAATGGAGCTGAGTGCTGGCAGCTGCCTGCACTGGGGCTAATGCGTTTCCCTGCCTGACTCTGCCTCGTCCCACTAGGATGCCGTCATGCTGCACAGCTTCACCCTCCGCCAGCAGCTGCAGACTACGCGCCAGGAGCTGTCACATGCGCTCTACCAGCACGATGCCGCCTGCCGTGTCATTGCTCGGCTCACCAAGGAGGTCACCGCCGCCAGAGAAGGTGACGTGGGGTGACATGAGGTGGGACGGGGGCTGTGTGCCGCAGGGAGGGGGAGCTGGGGAGGAGCGAGCAGCGTCTGGCACAGCCCCAGATAGTCTCGGTAGCGATCGCTGCACTGGATGCCATCTTCTTTGTCCTTTCAACCCGTTTTAACTCACAGCCTTTCTCTGCTTCCGCAGCTTTGGCAACTCTGAAGCCGCAGGCTGGCCTCATTGTGCCCCAGACGGTGCCATCCGCTCAGCCAAACGTGGCGGTGAGTCCCCGCTGCCCCTCTCGGTGCTTTTCCCCTTGGTCCACCGCTGCCAATCTCCACTCGTTTCCCCTCCGTTCCCCCTCTGGGTGTAACCAGCCCCTTTCTCCGTCCCATGCAGGGAGCCGGGGAGTCCATGGATCTGGGGGAGCTTGCGGGCATGACCCCCGAGATCATCCAGAAGGTAAGAGGTCCTCCACTTGTGCTGCTACAGCCTTTGGCGGTGGTTGTTCTTCCGCCTCGCGCCATGGGAGCCCCTGTCAGTCTGTGACCGCCCTTCTCTTGTTTTACAGCTTCAAGACAAGGCTACGGTGCTGACCACGGAGCGTAAGAAGGTAAGTGGCCCCGTTCCGCTCTGAAGATGTCGCAGCAGCCAGGACGTGGTGTGCCCCAAGAGAGGCCGATGTTCATCTCCACACCGTTTTCCTTTTGCAGAGAGGCAAGACTGTTCCAGAGGAGCTGGTGAAGCCGGAGGAACTCAGCAAGTACCGGCAGGTCGCCTCGCATGTGGTGAGTGCCGTGATGCGGGCCAGGGGCTCAAAAACTCCCCCGTGTAGCTGGGCATCTGCGCCTCTCCTGTGCCGCTTCGCAGCATCAATAAGGGACAGATCTGCTGCTGAGCAGAGCAAGGAGGAAGGTCGTGACTCTCTGTGCCACAACCAGCAGGGACCTGTGCTGGATTAAATGTGGCACAGGCTCCCGCTGTTGGAATGAAACCCCCTGGGCTCCCTCAAAGACCTCTCATTTCCCTTCGGGGGCGTTTTCTTGCTTGTGGCGTTAATCTGGCGTCCTCCTACCTTGCGCAGGGGCTGCACAGCGCCAGCATCCCAGGGATCCTTGCTTTGGACCTCTGTCCTTCCGACACCAACAAGATCCTCACCGGTAAGGGAGCCTCCTCCGCTTGCTGGGGACTGTGTGGGGTCAGCTAAGAGCCTGCGGCTGCCTGGGAGCAGGTCCCTTTCTCTGTGCTTTTGGGTGACAGCGGTGGGGCAAGGGGCATGAGGGATTCTCTCACCTCGTGGCAAAGTTTCTCAGGATGGTGGTCCCCAGGAAAAGTGGGTGGATTTGGACGGCCACAAACTCCCATCTCTCACTGCCTCCATGGGTTTGGTTTTTTTTTTTTCCAGGTGGGGCTGATAAAAATGTCATCGTCTTTGACAAGAGCTCGGAACAGATCCTGGCGACGCTCAAGGGGCACTCCAAGAAGGTTACCAGTGTTGTCTTCCACCCCTCTCAGGTGCGCTCAGGCCCACGTTTGGCCTCTTCCCTCACTGCCAGGCTGCCCCAGATCGCGCTTTCTGGACCCTCTTCTGGGTGCTCTGTTCTGGTGGGGTCTCCACCTCACGCAGACCGGTGGACGGGCCAGTTTTTGCCTGGAAGGAGCTCTCTAAGATGGAGAGGCGAAGGTCTTTTGATCTTAACTTTCCTGTCTCGTCCCTGTCTAGGACTTGGTGTTCTCAGCTTCTCCCGATGCTACTATCCGCATCTGGTCTGTGCCCAACGCCTCGTGCGTGCAGGTTGTCCGTGCCCACGAGGGCTCTGTGACAGGACTGAGCCTCCACGCGACAGGCGACTACCTCCTCAGCTCTTCTGATGACCAGGTGAGACCCGTCCCTGCGCCACAGACACCCCTCAACTCCTGCTTCTCATCTCTCTGTACTCAATGCGCTGTTCCTCTCTTCCAGTACTGGGCTTTCTCGGATATCCAGACAGGCCGTGTCCTCACCAAGGTGACGGATGAGAGCTCTGGCTGTGGTAAGACTTATAGCTGAGTGTCCCCACCCTGGGGGGGCTGTTGCGAGCTTGCGGAGAAGGGTTTTTTCTGCCTGTGGGTCCCTCAAGATCACAAGAACTTGTCTGGGGCGGGATGTGCTAACAAAGTCAGAAAGTCTCCCCAACCCTCCGAATCTCCCCCTGTGTCTCCGCAGCTCTCACCTGCGCCCAATTCCACCCGGACGGGCTCATTTTTGGAACAGGGACGATGGACTCTCAGATCAAGATTTGGGATCTGAAGGTAGGGCCGGCCCTGCGTGTGCGGGGAGGGGACAGAGAGAGGCAGCGTGTTGGGGGTGAGCTGGGTTTGGTGCCCAGCAGAGTGTTGAGTCCAAGGCTTAGCGTCCGTTTCTGCTGGAGTGGGGCTTTGGGGAATCTCTTCTTAGCTTTTCTCCCAAAATACAACACTTCGGCTCAAGATTGGCCACTTTTGATGCCATTCCTGGTTGATTGGGGGTTGTCTTGTGACAAGAAGGTGTTTGCTGTGTCCCACAAGAGAATCGGTGAGGAAGAGGAGGGTTCGCAGGCAGGCTGCCTGGCTCTGCTGCGGGAGGAGTCCGTGTTGGATGTGTGTGGGCTGCGGTTGCAGGGATCTGATCTCCCGACCGTGACGGCGGGGGCTGCGGTTCCCTGCCGGCAGCGTGTCTCTAACTGCCTTATCCCCAGGAACGCACCAACGTGGCCAACTTCCCGGGACACTCGGGTCCCATCACCAGCATCGCCTTCTCCGAGAACGGCTACTACCTGGCCACGGCAGCGGACGACTCCTCTGTCAAGCTCTGGGACTTGCGTAAGCTCAAGAACTTCAAGACGTTGCAGCTGGACAATAACTTTGAGGTGTGTGACCGTCCCCTTTTGCCCCACGATGGCCTGGCTGGGCAGGCTGGCAGCTTCCTCTCCCAGTACCCACCATCCCAAGCCTTCTCCCAGCTGTGCTCCTCAGCTTTGGGGGAGCCTGATGTGGAGGTGTTGCCGTTTGGAGCTTCTTGGGCCTGTTCTGAAGCTTCGTTCCCCTTCTCCTCCGCAGGTGAAGTCTCTCATCTTTGACCAGAGCGGCACCTACTTGGCTCTGGGTGGGACAGACGTCCAGATCTACATCTGCAAGCAGTGGACGGAAATCCTCCACTTCACAGGTGAGGGGTGGGGGCTGAGGGAGGTGGGAGGAGAGGTGTTTAGGTCTCCTCCTTCGGAGAGGAAACGCTCTCCTGTGTCTGCAGAGCAGCGGGGAGCGGGCAGGGAGACTAACTCCGCTCGATGCCGTAACCACGGGTTGTCTTCCCTCCCCAGAACACAGCGGCCTCACCACGGGAGTGGCTTTTGGCCACCACGCCAAGTTCATTGCCTCAACGGGCATGGACCGGAGCCTGAAGTTCTACAGTCTGTAGCCCCGGATGTGGGGATGGGGTCTCGCTGCCGTGCTGGGCTTTGGGGTGGGAGGGTGGGAGGGAGAAACTGGGGACGGGGCGGGAGGGAAACAAGTGGTTCGTTATTTCTCTGGGCTCCCCTGCTGTAGCTGTTGGCAGAGGGGAAGTTGGATGTCGCCTTCCCCGTGCTTCGTGGGATTTGTCGTTTTAGTTTTCTTCTTTTTTTCCAGTTTTGTGTGTGTCTTATCTGGCTTTAGATTCTGTTTTGTGGCTGTAACTGAGGCAACAAAAGGCTCCGACCCCGGCACTGGTGGATGTTTGCGGTCGGGATCGCGGTGGGGATGTGTGGAGGGAGGGAGGGAGGGAAGGGGAGGGCTGTGCAGGTTTTGTAAGCAGTTATCTAGTTTCATTATGGAAATAAAGAACTATTCACCGTAGAGGTGTGTGCCAGCCCCGGGGGTAAGGAAGGCTTCTGTAAAGGGCCAGGACGGGGGGCATCGTAGCCCCCAGCCAGCTGAGGGGGCAACTGGGAGGAGGTGTGGGTGCTACCAGCTCTGGGATGGGGACAAGGAACCCTTCTCTTTCCTCCAGTGCCCCGCACGGACAAACCACCACCCGCAGCCTCCGGTTTGAGCCGTGCTGTGCACGGGTTTATTTTTCCAGCTTGCCTCGAGCTGTCAGGCGGCGTCTGGTTGGAGGCAGGAGCTGCGCAGGAGGAAGAGAAGGAGGAGGAGAGTCAGTTTGAGCTGGGACGAAGGGGCAGTTCAGGGAGCAGAGGGGCACTCGCCCAGCGCTGTCGGGCTCAGCCTCGCCGCAGCTTGGTGACCTTCGGGAAGACGATGCGTCCCTGGGAGGTGACCATGCCCGTGGCTTCGGCTGTCCTCCTGTCCCCTAGAGACCGACGGGCTCCTGCGGAGGGGAAGGGGGTTGGTGTGGAAAGCCCCGGGCTGGCAGAGGTTCTCCCATGGTGGAACCTGGTGGTGGCCCCCAGACTTACGTGATGGCACTCCCAGCTGCCAGGAGGGTCGGCAGGGCTCGGGCTGCGCGAGGTGGCACACCGAAGCGCTGCAGGAGATGTACACCTGGAAGCCATGGGTGGGCCAGCGTCAGTGGCTGATGGTGCTGGTGGCCCTGGAGAAGGTGCTCCAAGCCCCAAAGAACCTCCCAACCCAGCAAGCAGCGTGGGTTCCCCGCTGCCGTTGTGGGGTCGGGGTGCGGAGCAGTATGGGGCAGTGATGCGCCGGCACCACGGGCAGTCGGGGGATTTGCTCAGGAAAGGTGCTGTGGTAGGTTTTGGGGTGTTGGGACGGGGGATTGTCAACACTGGGGGGCTCAGGAGGACCATGGAAGTCCATGATGCTGCAGGACATGTCTGCTCTCCTCACCTCTCCCTCCAGCACCGCCATGGAGGGGGGTTCCACAAAGGTGAAGGTGGAGATGACAAAGCGCTGGTAGTGGCTCGGGAAGGGCAGCTGCGGTGAGGCCGGTCCCACAGGCACGAGCTGCGTCCTATAGTTGTCCCCTGTGAAGGGGCACCTGGGTGTGCAACGAGGACCTTTGGTTGGTGCTGGTGACCCCTTCCTCTCCATCTTCCTGTCCCCACCACTCCCTGCTCACCCGTCCACCAGGATGGGCCACTGGGGCTCAGCAGCCCCGTCGGTGCTGGGGGACGCCCAGCAGTGGTGCAGGACCAGCACCAGGTTGGGGTCCGTCTTCTGGAGGAGACGAACCTCCACGTAGATGGGGTCCCGGAGCACCCTCACCAAGGGGTAGTCGCCGTCGGGGTGGTAGGAGCTGTAGCTCTCGTCTGCGGGAAGGGCCAGAGGCTGAGCGGGCTGAGGATGGGGGGACAACGGAGGGGTGGGGGGGACCAGCAAATGGTCTACTCACCAGTGGCAATGCGTAGCGGGAGTCCCAGCGGCCCCGGCATGGCCACGGGGGTGGCGGTGGGGGGCACGGCCACCTCCATACGGAGCGGCAGGAGGTCGCTGGCGTTGTAGATGCAGCGAGCTTGGAGGCTGGGGGGAGTAGAGCAGACCTGGATGCCCACCATGTCCTCCAGCCTTCCCCCCCACCGCGGCATCAGATCCCCCAGCCCAAGAAGAGGGGGGGGGCCACCTGCCGTAGGGGTCCCCAGTCCCACCACCAAGCACTGGCAGGAGCCAAGGAATGGGGGGAGCTCGTTTGGGGGGTGTTGCAGGCAGAAGGGGAGCAGGATGGGCTTTACTGAGGGGGTGTCCCGGCTCTGCCTGGCTTTGCCCACCCTCCCCTTACATGTAGATGCTGTCCCGCGTGATGGAGCCGCGGGAGGAACCCTGGACATCGATGGTAGAGATCAGCTGGTTCTCATAGATCAGCTGGTCCTCAATCACCTGAGGTGGACACGCATAGGGGGTTAAGGTCCCCATCCACGCTCTGAGCAGCTCAGGGGGCTCTCGAGGAGGAGGAGGAGGAGGAGGTGGGGTGTCGTATCCCTACGGGGACGGTGGTACCGCATTGCGTGACGGAGAAGCGGAACATCACGAAGGTCTCCGTCACCCTGACGGGCTCGCAGCCCGCCTGGGCGCTGGCGAGGCGCACGCTGTCCAGGTTGTAGGGTTGGGTGGCGAGTCCCCGCGGCACCACCAGGACGAAGTGGCCGTCCAGCAGGCACTGCACGGTGGCTGTGACACGAGGTTCCAGGTTCCATCAGCCTGGAATGACCTTCAGCCCACCCCGGCCAGTGTTGGCCGAGGCGGTGGGCGATGGGACGTCCCCAGGGAACCCCGCTGGGTGTCCTACCCGTGTTGCCGTAATAGCAGGGCGCCATGCGGTCCATGTCATCGTAGCAGCAGCCCGCCTGCAAGCACGCCTCCCGGCCCTGCGGGGCCACGCAGGGCATCCTCCCCACCGGCACCTGGCACTGCTCCCGCGTCAGCTGGGTGCCTGAGGTGACAGAAAGGGGACGCTGCCCTGAGCATCACCCTCAGCATCACCTTGAGCGTCCTTCTGAATTGCCCACCCAAGCGTTCCCCCCCCCCTCGCCAAAGCATCCCGAGCATCCCCTCCCAGATGTCACCTCCATCTCCGACTGTCTCCTACCTCCATCCCACCGCGTTGGCTTACCTGCCCCTGCCGAGGGGTAGAAGAGAGCCGTGGATTGCAGCAGACTGGCTTGGGATTGAAGCCCGGGACGCAGCAAACCAGGCTGGGCTTGGGCTTGTAGTCCCGGGCGCACCAAACCCGGCTGGAGCTGAGCTTGAAGTCCAGGACGTACCAAACCCGGTCGGGACTGGAGTCCCGGGCGCACTAAACCCGGTCGGGAATGGCTGGCATGTACCAGCCCAGCTTGGCTTTGGAGAACTGGGCGCACCAGACCTGCCTGGGATTGGGACTGAGAGCCGGAATGAGGCAGCCCAGTTTGGCTGTGGAGCCCAGGGTGGAGGAGACCAGTTTGGGAATGCGTCTGGAGGCTGGGACGAGATAAACCTGGCTGGTTTGGGGGCTGAGCTCCTGTTCGTACGAAGCCTGCTTGAGTCTGAGCACCAGCATGTGTTAAGCCAGACTGGACACCGGGGTGCACCAGCCCGGGCTGGTTTGGGGTCTGAACTCCTGGACGAAGGAGCCCTGGTTGGTTTTGAGCTCCAGGGTACACCAGCCCGGGCTGGTTTGGGGTTTGAAGCCCTGGGTGAAGAAGACCTGGTTGGTTTTGAGCTCCAGGGTGCACCAGCCCAGGCTGGTTTTGGGTTTGAAGCCCTGGGCGAAGAAGACCTTGTTGGTTTTGAGCTCCAGGGTGCACCAGCCCGGGCTGGTTTTGGGTTTGAAGCCCTGGGCGAAGAAGACCTTGTTGGTTTTGAGCTCCAGGGTGCACCAGCCCGGGCTGGTTTTGGGTGTGAAGGCCTGGACGAAGGAGCCCAGGCTGGGCTGGGGACTGCATGCCAGGGCGTACTAAACCCCGCTGCGGTTGGGTGATGGGACGAACCATGCCTGGTTGGGGCTGAAGCCCCTGGTGAACCTGGCCAGGCTGGGACTGAAGCCCGGGGTGCACCAGGACGGGCTGCGTGCGAGCCACGGGGTGAACCTGCTCCGAGTGGGCTTGGGGAGAGACGTGGGCTCCCGAGAGGGTGAGGGTGGACTGGGACACGTGCTGCAGGACCCCAGGCTGGGCCAAGGGGACAAGAACATCAGTCTGGGTTTGGTGGACGCTATTGCCCCGGCCGGGCCGGTACTCGGTACGTGTGTTGCCATCCATGCGGATCTCGTAGTCCCCGGGCTGCGGGCAGGTCATGTTGACTTCGTAGGAGGCGGCCACGACCCCGCTGAGCAGCACCTCCTCCAGCTGCACCCTCAGGACGTAGCGGTCCTCCTGTGGCATGGCAAGAGGGACAGTCACCCAAGGGACAGTCACCCCCAGCCCGCTGGCGCCGGGGGACCGTGGGTGGGATGGGAACCTCACCTTCACCAGGACGTGGCAACCCTCGTAGCCAGAGGAGAAGATGACGGCACCATCCACCCCAGTGTTGAGCCAGTGGAGGCAGATGGAGCAGTTGGCCACGTCGAAGGGGGTACCGAACTCATCTGCGGGGGACACCGTGGGCGCGGGGGGGAGTGAGGTGGCACAACGGGGTGCCGTGACGCTCAGAAACCCTCCCCGGCAGCACCAGCCCACACCGAAAACTCATTCAAGCCACTGAGCTCATCCCATCAGGGCACCAGCACAAGGGAGCACCCGGATTTTGGGGTAACCTCAAGGAGATCTGGCACATGTCACCCCAAGAAGAGCCAGGGAGGGGTTCACACCCGCCTGCCCCCCACTCACCCATGACTTTGAAGCGGACGGGGCGGCCGCGAGAGGGGGACGCCAGCAACTGCGCGGCGGCGGTGGCGGCGAGCGAAGCCGGAGCACGGGGCTCTCCGTGGGTCAGCACCGCGGCCACGGATTTATATCCATCCGGCTGGGATGCAGCGGGGGAGGGGGGATCAGATGATCCGTGGGATGTTGTCTTCTGTCCCGTGGCGAGGGGACGAGCTCTGCCCAGGGCTCCTCGCTCCCTTGCCACCAGCGACCTCGCTGCCCCCGGCACTGCGGTCACCTCCCGTGGCCGTGCCGGGGTGACCGGGGAAGAACCGAAAGCTGTTCGAAGAAACACTTTGTCCCACGGCGGGAGAGACAATCCCTGGAGATGGCACTGGCCGAGCTGGAGGGGGAGGAGGGGGCTAGTGTGTGCCCACCTCCCTCCTTGCCACACAGCCTTGGGGTTTGCCACAAGCCGGTGGGGACGGCGGTGGCATCCGGCTCCCCGATGGACCACCCTGCTGCCAGGGCAGCCATAGGACCAGGACCCTGCAGAGGGACCGGGGCAGAATGGTGGCATGGCCCCGGTGAGGTCCGAGGACCGGGGAACCAGGCAGTTGTCCCCAAATCCCCACCACCACCACCATGGTGGCTTTACGCCCAGGCTCTGCCGCACCGGCAGTGCCACGGGGGAAGCAAAAGCCCTTCAAACGCTTCGTCCCATGGTGGGGTGAGGAGTCAGGAGAAACTCTTCCTGCAAACGGGGGATGGAGACTGCTGCCCTGAGCGCGGCGCGGGGTCAGGGGTCCCCGTGCCACCCCTCGTCCCAGCCGTCACCTTCCTTTGCTCTCGCTGCCCTTGCCCTAGAGCAAAGGTGGCGATGGTCCCACCAGCTGGGCCACGGAGGGGCTCGTCCCCCCACCCCTCGAGGTCCCTGTAGGAAGGTGAACGGGGAGCCGGCGTGGCCAAGCGATGGGCCACGAAAAGCCGGAGCCGAGTTTCGCCGGCGCCCCGGGATGAAGAGGAAGGACCTTGGTCCCCTCGGGTGGCTGCTGAGCGCAGCGCTTTGTGGGTTCCCTCTGCCTCCCTCTCCAGAAGTTTCCTTTCTGGGTCTTATCTTTATTGTAGACTAAACCGAGTCACTCCCCCACCTCCCCTTGCCGGTGTGACGGTCACGGCCGCCGGCTCCTGCACCCTGCCCCGGGCACGTGTTGGGCGTGAATGTGCCCGTTTGCCATCCTCCACCGCAGCCCAGGTGCCAACCATCAGCGTTTTGGGGGTTTAAAGCCCTCCTGCCCCGTGCGAGACGCCATCCTCCATGTTCCCGGGGGGGAAACCCTCAGCTCCCACCGGCTCGCGGCACCGAACCGGGTCTCACGCTGAAGGGGTGTGTGGAACCAGGAGGGTTTGGCCGTAGCCCCCCCCAAAAACCTTAGTGGCCTCATTAAAGGGCAGTATCAGCTACGGCGACATCTCCACAACCCCCTGAGCCGCGGCTGTACCTATACATGTACCTATATATGTGTATGTATATACGTATATATACACATAGGGGTCATCCCACGTGCCATCGCCAGGACCTGGTGTCCCCACCCCACCAGTGGAGGCAGGACCAGGCGGCGCCGGCTGTCAAGGTGCACTTTATTGAGCGGGGTGACAACCCCGGGGGCAACCCCAGCCCCTTTTCCACCCACCCCACCCCAGCCCCGGCTCCCCGCAACCATCACAGCTTCATGGTGGCAGCGGGACCCAAGTGGTGCTCCAAGAACTGGACGATCTCCTGCCACGAGTGCTCCTGGGCCTTGGCGTGGGCTTGGGCTTCACCCCCCCATACCACCGGCCGGGGGGTGCCCCGAATGCTGGAGATGCTGCAGAGGGGGGAGCCAGGGGGCTCGATCAAGTGCCCGGCGCCGGGGTAGGAGAGGACACGGCCACTCTCTGGTGGCATCCGTGCCATGGCCAACTCGGCAAAGAGCTTGCTGTTGAAGCTACGGTCGGCCTCCCCAACCACGAAGAGCACCTTCCCCCGGATCTTCTCAACCGGGATGGCCGAGGCGCTGTACGCGGGGTCCCGAGGGTCGGCGAAGATGGCCGAGTTGTCCAAGGCCCCCACCTCTGTGAAGATCACGCGCTCGGTGTAGTATGGGATGGGGGGGATGTGGAGATCCTTGTAGACCAGCGGGTTGCCATGGAGGAAGGCCGTGCCGTTGATCCACACTGTGGCCACCACCTGTGGGAGGAAGGTGGCCATGGCCAGGGCCACCTCTGCTCCTTTGGAGACGCCAACGACACCCAGGCCGGGGCCTCGCACCTGCAGTGGGGGGAAACAGAGCCAGCTGGCAGCACTGCTCGCTGGGACGTTACCGGGATGTCCCCAGTCATGAGGACAACACGCTTGTTGGGATATCCCTGGTCACCAAGACATCCTGCTCACTGGGATGTCCCCAGTCACCAGGACATCCCTGCTTGCCAGGAGATCCCCAGATCACCAGGACATCCCTGGTCACCAGGACATCCTGCTCACTGGGATGTCCCCAGATCAGCAGGACATCCCACTCACCCGGACATCCCTGATCACCAGGACAACCCGCTCGCTGGGACATCCCTCGTCACCACAACAACCCACTCACCGGGATGTCCCCAGTCACCAGGACATCCTTTGCTTGCCAGGACATCCCCAGTCACTAGGACAACCCACTCACTGGGACATCCCTGGTAACCAGGACATCTCACTCACCAGGACACCAGGTCATCCTGCTTACTGGGATGTCCCCAGTTACCAGTACGTTCACGCTTGCCAGGACATCCCCAGATCACCAAGACATCCCACTCATCAGGACATCTGTGGTCACCAGGACATCCCACTCACCACCATGTCCCCCATCCCCAAGACATCCCTGTTCACCAGGACGTCCCGTCACGCTGCAGGGCTCACCTTGGGATGCCGGAGGAGCAGCTCAGCTGCCTCCTCAAAATACTCCAAGTCGAGCTGGGCCAGGGTGCGGGGCAGGTCGTCGTAGGCGAAGAAGGCCAATGCCAGCACCGCGAAGCCCCGGCTGGCCAGCAGCCCCGCACGAAACTCAATGAGGCCACCCGCACCCCCAAATAGGTCGATCACCCCCGGGAAGGGTCCCGGTCCTGCGGGCAGCCAGAGAGACCATCACCAAGGGGGGAGAGAAGCCACCAGTGCCATCCCACACCCCGAGTGTGGTGGGTGGCCCACTGGGTGGCCAAGGGCCGGGCAGCCCGGGGTTCCCCACACCCCGTTTCTCACCGGGTGGCAAGAAGAGGGCTCCGCGGACCCTGCCCTCCCGGATGGGCACGCGCTGCATGCCGGGACCCACATACCACCGCTCGGCCTGGCAGGAGGCCAGCGGCTGGTCCTGGGGTCCGGTGACCAGGCGGACGCCATCGAAGACCTCCAGACGGACAAGGAAGGGGCTGCCGGCCACATCCCGCTTGACCAACCGTCGGAAGAGGGTGTCGGG